TAAAAACTACTTCTTACCTACAAATCCAAATCAGAATCGAAATCAGAAGATGAACTGTCGCAACCAATATTTACAATGAGTGGCTCGATCATTTCATCAGTAATATTGTCCAACTTCCACATTTTCTCTTCTTTAATCGTATGATTTACTGCCTTTTCCCAGTTTTCAGGCTTCACATTATTTACAGCCTCCAAAAACAACTGTTTAACATCAATCATTTTAAAAGAATTATTTTTTCTTGAAACTTCTCCCTTTATCTGTGCCCATATCAGTTCAGTCGGGTTTACTTCGCAATGATATGGTGGTGATCTAACCACCGTCACCCCACGATTTTTTGCAATTTCATCAATTTCATATTTTTTGAATTTCTCTTTATGAAGGGAACACAAATGCTACAGTTCTTTTCTCACAGAACCGGGATGGAACTTAATATTCTTTGAATTTAGCCAATTCTGTAAATCTTTTTTTAACCACTTGGTTATGGGCATTTTTTCTATAAGTCTCGAGTGATAACTTGCATTATCCATTACTATTATACAGTTCTGAGGAAGAAGATCTATTTGTTCGAACCACTCTTTAAAGACATCAGCATTCATGTTCTCATGGTAGTCACCGGTACAAAACCGTTTGAACTACCGATGTGTACTATTATTAGTCTGCGCCCCTTTCCTGATGGTGGATTTAAACCAGTAGATAAATTATTTAAAAAGCCTGTCTTCGACTTGTAACAGTTTCATCTTGCTAAAATTTATTTGGTTTATGTCCCTCGTTGATCCATGTTTCATCTAAATAAAATATATTTCTTCTTTGGTTTCTCATTTCTTTTATAGTCCTTAGGTAATTTCTTCTCCATACTACAATATCGCTTCTTTCTATTAAAATAGACTTTCTGGAATGCTTTTTCCATAGAAAACCTATTTCTTTTAAAAGTTTCCATAGTGTGCTTCGACTCATTTCAGAGTAATCCTTATCATCTCGAACCGTGGCAAGAACTTTGTCTACTATCGGAAATTCTTTTATAAAGAACGCATGCACTTTCCTTCGAAGTCTTTCTTTCAAAAGATTTTCTAATTGAAATTTTGGTTTTCCTGGAGCTTTACGTGCTGTTTGAAACTCGCCACATTTCTCTTCTTTAACAACTCTGTAAATCGTAGATTTCCCAACACCAAGCGTACTACTAACTAATTCCACTGTGTCATCAACACTTTTACATAAATGTTTGTCTGTAAATGATTTAAAACAATAATTAAATATTAATGTTTTTTCATTTACTGTTAAAGGACCGATTTTTTGTCGTTTACGCGGCCCTTCCAAATGTTCCATGATCACACTAGAATTCACACTGCACCTTGCAAGTTGCAACTAAATGACATTTAGTAAACTGTCAAGAATACACAACTTGGACCTCCTTACTAAATGGAAAACCTATAATCGCATTTTCGATGAAATTTGTTGGGAAGGTATTTATTTACTTATAATTCGATTACTGTAAGAAATTCTTGGAATTAAAATAAAACAAAATTGGTAAATAAGTACTTATTGAAAATAATCTTAAGTTACGGCTACGTAATCTTTAATACGCATGGCTTTTGGCCTGTCCAAACCTTTTTCTATTGTTTTGTACAGCTTATGTTTATAAAGGACCAATAAAAGACCCAAAACTTGTAATAGCTCAGGTACATTTATTACAATTTTAGGAAATATTTAGATTATTCTGTAAAAATATTTAAAATGACCGTACTAAGTTTTGCATTAGAAATGCTGTTTTATTACTCTCTCATACATAAAAATAGACTATAATACCACAGCTTATACAATACAGCTAAAACACTCTCTTGGCGGCAACGGTTTGCGTCGATTTCGTCGCGCATCGCTTAAGCTCCGCCTTCGAAGGGAAAAGACGGTTTTGGCGTTCAGAAGTGTACTTAGGTAAGGTGTTGAGTCGTGCGTATAATTTCGTTGATTGTATAATTTCGTTGATTGTATAATTTCGTGGAGCCTATAATTTCGTAGATTTTGTTTGAGTAAAAGGTACTGTTATTATTTTGGTGACTCTTTAGCTGTTGAGTAGAATGAATGAAAAAAAAGACATCATTCTGTTTGTGCAGTCAAAAGCTGTTTTAATAAGGGTTATACCTGCAAGAAAACATTCTTTAGTTTTCCCAAGGACCCAAACCGTTAAGTACCACATTATAAGAAATTTTCATTGTTAAAAATATAATTTATGCAGGGTGTCCCATTAGTGCGTTATTGTTCATTATTTTGTTGTAGACACGCAAGAAAGTTTTAAATAAAAGATATATGGATTTGAAAAATACCTACATATTTTAAAAATATCTTTGGATATACAGGGTGTTACGTTTTTGCCTGGCAAATTAAAATGTATGTTTTTTAAATGGAACACCTTGTATTTTATTTTATGATGAAATTATTAACACCCTAAATTATTGTAAAGACGAATTGCTACAGAAAATTTTTATCAGGTATGTGTGTGGTTACCTTTTAATAAAAGCCTTGCGGATCCACTCCTGCGATACCTGTCTTAAATATAACAAAGATCACGTTGAAATAGATGATTTTTCTTTTTATTGCTTTTTAAAGGCATATGATAACGCCAATTCAGATACATTTGGAAATCTGCAACTGTCAAATGATGAATTTGTAGAACTAATATTCAGTATTGAAAAGATATTTCAAAATAATTTTGAAGAATTGGCTACAAAAAATAACATTTGTACCACACTTTTAGAATTAATTAACCCAATACCCTTTAGTCATCCATGCTAATGTTTTCCAAAAGAATAACTTATTTTATTGTATGTTTAATCTCAATAACTAAAAAATATACTGACAATTAGTTTGACAGAATTGTCATTTATTTAAAATTTTAAAAATAATAGCAGTCGGTTGATCAAAATATGAACGGTGATTGGCGAATTTATTTTTTTTTTGCAGTGTTCTCACTACCTAGAATGGATATGAAATATATTCGTTCAATTGAAGGCAATAGCATACTTTTTCGTTTTGTAATCTGTGCATGGATATTAGCCAATCTACGCACATACTACAAAACGAAAAAGTATGTTATTGTGTTCAACTACGAATATATTTCATATCCATTTTAGGTAGTAAGAACACTTTAACAAAATTAAATCTACAAATCACAGTTCATATTTTGGTCACCCAACTCCTATTATTTAAAATTTTTTAAATAAGTGACAATTCTGTTAAACTAATTGTCAATATATATTTTAGTTATTGATATTAAATATACATTAAAATTTTTGTGCAGACTCGATAAATAATAGCATTTTTGTTTCTACTGTGTCCACATTTAAAAAAAAAATAAATTTTAATTAAACTACATGATACTAATTTAATTACGAGTATTAAAACTAAAGTCCTGAAAGTTTCGGTGAAGATGAGGACAGAGCATCTGCCTTCCACGCGAAAAGTCCGGGATCGAATCTAGGCCGAGGACTAATTAATTTTTCATGTTTATTTTATTTTATAAATTAGTCAACTTCGTAAATTATTTTAAAATTAGTTATTTTGTCTAAATAACCTAAAATAATTTTTTAAATTTGTAGATTTTCGTTAGTGGGTCGTAGAAAAAATATACTGACCATATCGAGTAGATTGTTCATATCACAATCAGACGATTGAGTTCTCCGCCTACGACGTCGTGCTCAAACTTCGTCTTTGTGTGATATGGCTATCATATCCACCCTTGTTGAACAAACTACAATTTATTTGTTTTCTTGGTTTAAGTTTTACATCAGAAATAGGAATTAAATTAATTTACTTTTCAAGTTTTCTTGTAAAAATCGATATTACTTTCTCCAAGTACAAATTTAGTACCTACCTAAAATAAGTACTAATTATGTTATATCTTGTAATATTGTAATTCAAATTTCACATTACTATAAAGTTTTAAAATTTCCTACTTCGGTATGGTCAGATAAAAATTGAATATATTATATTAATAAAAACTGTCAAAGTATAACTTCTACAAATCTGTATTTCAAATAATAAGAATACATCTAAATATAACCAATATTGTTAAAACAAAAGCACACATTCTTTATAATTCCAAAATACCATAGAGTTCCCAGACCTCAGTCGAAGCATTCGTTTATCTAGGTATAAACCCTTTGCGCGAAGAGTAACACTTGCCAGAGACACGGGGGTACCACTTGATTTGCATCCACGAGCGTGACACAATTCTTTAACAATTGAAGCCCTTGGTGTAAAATGGATCCAAGCCACAATTTGTCGTGAAGTGACTGTTTTAGCTCAAAACATTTGTTAACGAGGATTTTACTAGCCATATATAAATTATTTTACCTCTAATCCGAAAGATGTGCTATTTTTCGTAATATTTATATTTAAATAATTTTTTTAATTATATTTGAAAGATTTAAAACAAATTAAAAATGTAATTTCCCAAAACTTACTTAATATGGCATGTGACCAACCTTATTACGCAAAGGTTTTCAATTTTTTCAATAATAAAAAAATTGTTTAATCCGGGCCCGACTTTTCCCTTGAATCTAACAGAGATAGCACCATTCCGTCTTGCTTGGTTCTCGACCGCCAGATCAAAGACGCCGACACGGAGTTGTGGAGCTGTATTGTATAAGCTGTGATAATACATTCTACAGGAATAATAAAATTTTTACTAGAATTCGATTAAATTTTAAACATTTCCCTCGTACATTCTCGACTCCTCAATTTTTTTACAATAAAAACAAAAACCTAAACCTCTTATAGAGCAACACTATTTCGAGTAAGTCTACAAATTCGACTTACGAGAAATAAAAATATTGGACAGGGATTCGAGGAATCCTCTTGGCGTATTTTGATGCGGTTTTCGTTATTTTCGTTTCTCCGGAAAGGTTAGAGAGCATGAAAAATTAATCTTTGACAAAAGCTCGGTAGAAAAGATTTCAGTGAAGCAATTCGAAATAACAACTTACAATAGACATAGCATTAAAGTTATGACAGAAGGAAATCGATGTATTGAGCAACGAACAGTGGCGGAGAGAGGTAAAAAGAGGAAAGAAATAGTTTTTTGTGAAAAGTAAGATTTCTAACTGATTTACTAATTAAAAAGGGACTGTAATCAGTTTAAAAACGGATTCTATTACAATTATTCTCTCAAAAATAGCTTTTTACAAAATTTTAAAAATTAAAACAACTTTACTCTGTGAAAGTTTGAAAGCAACAACTTTTATAAGCTAAAAACCAAACTTGCTTCGTCGACACATATTTTGTCTTGTTGAGAAGTTGAGAAATAGTAACTCAGTCGACCGTTTGGAAAATAATTTTTTTTTTTTTTTTTCGGAAAAAAGATCTTGCCTCGGACAAATTGAAAGTCTAACTTCTAAAGGAAAAATCGCACAAACTTTAAGAGGACATTTTCTTTATTTTCATGACATTCTAGGGTATTCCACGACCTCAAAATGCATAATTAGTCAACAGTTTGGAAAATAATTTTTTTTTTTAAAGATCTCGCCTCGAAAAATTGAAAGTCTAACTTCTAAAGGAAAAATCGCACAAACTTTAAGAGGACATTTTCTTTATTTTCATGACATTCTAGGGTATTCCACGACCTCAAAATGCATAATTAGTCAACAGTTTGGAAAATAATTTTTTTTTTTAAAGATCTCGCCTCGAAAAATTGAAAGTCTAACTTCTAAAGGAAAAATCGTACAAACTTTCAGAGGACATTTTCTTTCTTTTCATGACATTCTAATAATTTTAGATCGAGAAATGTCTCGATTAATACATTCTACGGGAATCATAAAATTTTCACTAGAATTCGATTAAATTTTAAACATTTTTCTCGTACATTCTCGATTCCTCGATTTTTTTACAATAAAAACAAAAAGCTAAAACTCTTATAGAGCAACACTATTTCGAGCAAGTCTACAAATTTTCTAGAAATTTCTATGATTTTCTTTGGATTTCTATGGGTTTATATGTTTTTTCATAGATTTTCTATAATTTTCTAGGGATTTCTAAGGTTTTCTAGGATTTTCTTCGATTTTCCATAAGATTTTTTATGATTTTTTTTAATTTCTATGATTTTCCAAAGATTTTCTATGGTTTTCTATGACTTTTTATGGATTTTCTAGGAATTTCTCTGATTTTCTTTGAATTTTTATGGTTCTTTATGGATTTTCTAGGAATTTAAATGACTTCTTTAAATTTCTATGATTTTCTATGAATTTTCATAGATTTTCTGTGATTTTCAAGGGATTTCTAAGGTGTTTTAGAATTTTCTTCGATTTTTCATAGGATTTATGATTTTCTTTGAATTTCTATGGTTTTCTATAGATTTTCTAGGAATTTTATTGATTTTCTTTGAATTTATAGGGGTTTCTATAAATTTCCATAGATTTTCTATTATTTTCTAGAGCTTTCTAAGGTTTTCTAGGATTTTCTTTGATTTTCCATAAGATTTTGCATGATTTTCTTAGAATTTCTATGATTTTCTATGATTTTCCAAGGACTTTCTATGGTTTTCTATGATTTTCTATGGATTTTCTAGGAATTTCTATGATTTTCTTTGAATTTCTATGGTTTTTTATGGATTTTCTAAGAATTTATATGATTTTCTTTAAATTTATATGATTTTCTATTAATTTTCATAGATTTTCTAGGGATTTCTAAGGTGTTTTAGAATTTTCTTCGATTTTCCATAAGATTTTTTATGATTTTCTTTGAATTTCTATGGTTTTCTATGATTTTCTATGGATTTTCTAAGAATTTCTATGATTTTCTTTGAATTTCTATGGTTTTCTATGGATTTTCTAGGAATTTTATTGATTTTCTTTGAATTTATAGGGTTTTCTATGAATTTCCATAGATTTTTTATGATTTTCTAGGGATTTCTAAGGTTTCCTAGGATTTTTTTCGATTTTCCATAAGATTTTTTATGATTATTTAATTTTTATGACTTTCTATGATTTTCCAAAGATTTTCTATGGTTTTCTATGATTTTTTATGGATTTTCTAGGAATTTAAATGATTTTCTTTAAATTTCTATGGTTTTCTATGAATTTCCATAGATTTTCTATGATTTTCTAGAAATTTATAAGGTTTTCTAGGATTTTCTTCGATTTTCCATAAGATTTTTTATGACTTTCTGTGCTTTTCTTTGATTTTCCAGAAGTTTGCGTAACCGACGCATAGATTTTGCGTGAGTTTCTAAGATTTTTCCTAAGATTTCACACATTCTACACTAGATGATAACAATGTACTCTACAAGAGTTTGTGTGTTGCATATGGTTAACTCCTCCCTTTTCTCCTTCTTCTCTTTCTTCTTCTTCTTCTTCTTCTTCTTCTTGTCCTACGTAATGTTACTGTTACTGTTACTGTTAGGTTAGATGACAGTTGTTCCTTGACATTTATGACTGTTAGGTTGGCAACTCTGTTGCCTTTTTTGCTTTGCCATTGCACTCTAACGTTACTGAGTTCTCTACATAATACCGTTTTCCTCGATTAAATCCGACCAATAATAGCTGTGGCACATATTTAGGTTCTTTCGGCATTACTACTACGCATGATTTTTCATTTCAACGTTCATCTACACCGAATTCTCTATATAATACCGTTTTTTCCATTTGAATCGGACCAATAGCAATAATGATATACGCTTAGGCCCTTCTGGCAATCGCATGATTTTTCTGTTCGACGTTAAAAGAGATTTAACTTCCCTCACTCCCCTCCGCTCCCCGCTGGCGGCCCGAGAAGTTAGTTACTACCATATCAATAATGCTACGTTTGAATGTGAAATTGGCGGTGACAATTAATTACAGCGTAAACCTATGACATCTCTCATCGTTTTTTATTATATCTTTGTTAATTCAAAAGCAAAAAATATGGTGTTTACTCTGTTACCTTGTCAACACTAAACAAAAATTTTATAAACAATTTTTTTTTATTTAGGCTTTCCTTTTTTGTTAAATGAGTGGTATATTTAAAAATGACAACTTTTTAACCAAATTTTTGAAGGGTTGAAACCGAGATATTTACGTTTATATTTTTGTTCGGCCGTAAAGGCTAATGCAAATGATTTTTTTTTAATAGAGTGAAAGTACATGCCTTGTTAAATTGAGCTAAATCATTTATACAAAGAATAAATAAACCTGGACCCAACATAGAACCCTGAGGAACATTTTATAAGTTCCCATAACAATCAACATTATTTTTTTTTTGTTTCAGAAACGCAGTTCTAAGTCCACATCCAGAATTTCACGAATCGACGAATTTCACGGTGTTAATCCAGTAGAGATCGGATGACAGAAGTGCTGGATGTGATAGACAATGTGACAAACACAACAAGAAAAACTCTCAACTATGGCGGGGAGGAGGAAATGTTGATGACAGTCGGTGGTTACGTCGGTGCAGCTGTAGTGTTGTTTCTAATTGGATTTTTCGGATTTTTCCTCAATCTGGGAGTTATTATTCTTATGTGGAAAGACAAACAGGTGAGAATATATTTGTTTTTTAAAATTATTAAGGGTTAGAAGATGAGATTAGGATATCGTTTTCGACTTACAAAACCGTCATAAGTGTCCTGCATTTAGTTATGTAGATGGACATACAATTTTTTTTTATTTTCACGTCTATTTTAAAAATTGAAAAAAAAAATATATAATTGTTTAATTATACCCTTGAAAATGGTATATTTTATATTTTTCTTAGTAATCCCAGAAGCATAATTTTTAATCCAGAATATAGATTGTTTAATACGCTTGAATTTTACTAATTTGTCCGGAGTTTTATTATTTTGTCCGGACTTTTATTATTTTGTCCGAAGTTTTATTATTTTGTCCGGTGTTTTATTATTTTGTTCCAATTTTTAGAGAAATGTCCGAAATATTTATTAGGAATGTCAGCAAATTGTATTTTTAATTAAAATAATAACCCTAATTAAGAGCAAAATTCATCTTTTGATAAATTTGGTATAAGACTGAAACAAATTGATATCTGACGGTAGCATTTTAATGGACATACTGTAGGTATATATCTACTCAATCTGAAATTCAAAAATAATTTATCAGTCCTTGTTTAATTTTTGTATGTTTCCATTAAAGAATAAATGAATTTATTTCTATTAAAAAATCTGTTTTTACTTTATTATTTTCAGTTATGGACACCTCTAAACATAATCCTATTCAATTTGATATGCAGTGACTTTTCCGTATCGATCCTTGGAAATCCCTGGACTTTGGCGTCAGCTGTGTCTTACAGATGGATTTTTGGAAAACTGATGTGTCAGATTTATGGATTTTTTATGTCGCTATTAGGTATGTTTAATTTATTTTTCTAATTTTTTTCCGAAAGAATTTAAATAGTAATTTGGGAGAATGTTTTATAAACCGAAATTTATAGATCGGAATATTACAATATTACTGGAAATTTCTTACAGACAGATGTAAAATAGTCTCCATTAATGACATTAATACAGAATCATTCTGCAATTATTTTGCAACATATTTTTTAAAAACTCAAAAATAATAGTCATTAATAAAAAACAATATTGTACTAATAATTTTAGATCGTGAAATATCTCGACTAAGACCTTATATTTGTGTTATCTCTAACAATGAAACAAATGTTTACAATAAGAAAAAGGCTAAATCTATTATAGCGCAAAAAATATAATACGATTTGAAAAATCATTTAAAAAAAAATATATTATTATTTAAACAACAAGTACAATATTTTTATGACTTTATTAATTGTAAGCTAACATCAGACTAAAAGTAAAATAAGAAATGTTAAACACTTGTTCAGAGATAACAAGTAACTTGAACTGCCGGCTGGTGGAATTCTCGGAACTTCTCGATAGGTCAGCAGTTTCTGTTATGTAATTCGCAACACTATTTCGAGCAAGTCTATCATGTTCTTCATAATATTTTTTCAAAACAGTTATTAATACTCAAAAATAATAAAATGTAAATATTTTTTTTAAATTTAGTTAATTTTGCATATTCCTTTTTTATAAATTGAGTAGCTTTTGAAACAGTGTCGATGCAACAACTCGAATTTTCGGATCCAGTGTCATGTCTTATAAGTTATTGAATCAAAAAAGTAATCAGACATTTTTAATCTAGAAAAATAACTAATAATTTTGCCACTCTACATTTAAGAATGGATAAACAAGAATAATATTTACATAATTCATTAATTCATTATATGGAAATATTTATTCAACAATTTAGAACATATATAATAAACTCAAGATAGCTTCTATTTAGCTGAATAAATTTGGCAATAAAATTTCAATAAAAATATATTTAAGAAAAGACGTAAGAAATTACAAAACTATAAAAACGTAATAATATATTACATAACAAGTGTGGAAAGTGCAATATTTCGCACGAGTTGAAGTTTAGCACGAGCCGCGTCGCGGCGAGTGCGGAAACTAAACGAGTATTCTTATAAATAAAAGTTAAATGATAAATCGAAATATAAATTACTAGTATCACTGAGTAGATCAGCAAAGTATGTTCTGGCTCACATAGGGAATTCAACGTGTAAGAGTGAGAGGTACATATTCAGTAGGTAAGAGTGAGACAGACGGTCTGAGGGGAAAACGGGGTAGTGGGGGGAGTGGGGGGATTAAATTTCGTCGAATAGAATTTTTGCGTAGTGGTAAAGCCAGAAGGGCCTTAGCGTATATCTCAGCTATCGTTGGTCCGATTTAAACGGGGGAAAACGGCATAACGTAGAGATCGTGGTATAGATTAACGTCGAAAAGAAAAAATCATGCGCAGTGACAGGACAAAAGGGCCTAAGCGTATATCTTTACTGCTATTGGTCCGATTTAAACGAGAAAAACGGCATTATGAAGATAACTCAGTATTGATTAACGTTGAAAAGAAAAAATCATGCGCAGTGACAGGACAAAAGGACCTCAGCGTGTATCACGTGGTCCGATTTAAACGAGAAAAAACGGGGTTATGTGCACTGAAAAGTTTGACGTTTGATGACTGACGTTTCACGTTTGACGTTTCACGTTTGACGTTTACCGTTTGACGTTTTACGTTTCACGTTTGACGTTTCACGTTTGACGCTTGACTTTTGACGTTTCACGTTTGATGTTTGACGTTTGACGGTTAGTTTCTGCTAGTATCAAGCGTCAAGGTTAACAACCCAGATCTCCGAGAGGAGGCGTATCCTACACCCGGAAATATTTTTTTAAAGTAAAATAAGTATAGTATTCAGTATTGAAATGTCTAGCGAAGAGAATAGACGTAGAATTGAAGAGTTTGGTATAAAAGTTCAAAAACTAAGAAGAGACATAAAATTATATGAAGATAAAAAACAAGTTTTAAGAGATTTAACAAATTTAAGTCTTTGGGATAAAGGCTTTGAGAGATATCAGTATCCACTTAGAAGAATCCAACCGACGCAAATATGGCCATCCTAAAGGCTAATTTCATTATACTTACGGCTATATTAAACAACGTACTGTATACCAATGTACCGTTAGGCGTACAACAGATGGCGATACGTTTTGATCATCAAACGGAATGGCGAAAGATGAATTTCTCGGTGGTAAATAATATGAAGCTAAATACGTTTTCCATAGCAATCGATGAAGCAAAGAGATACAAATTAAAATTGATTTTTAATGATGGCACTGAAGGAGAATTCAAAGATTGGCAGACTCCACCACCACCACCGATCGATTTGAGTTTTTTCTCGTTTAAATCGGACCACGTGATACACGCTGAGGTCCTTTTGTCCTGTCACTGCGCATGATTTTTTCTTTTCAACGTTAATCAATACTGAGTTATCTTCATAATGCCGTTTTTCTCGTTTAAATCGGACCAATAGCAGTGAAGATATACGCTAAGGCCCTTTTGTCCTGTCACTGCGCATGATTTTTTCTTTTCGACGTTAATCTATACCAAGCTCTCTATATGCCCATATTTTCCTCGTTTAAATCGGACCAACGATAGCTGAGATCCACGCTAAGGTCCTTTTGTCCTGTCACTGCGCATGATTTTTTCTTTTCGACGTTAATCAATACTGAGTTATCTTCATAATGCCGTTTTTCTCGTTTAAATCGGACCAATAGCAGTGAAGATATACGCTAAGGCCCTTTTGTCCTGTCACTGCGCATGATTTTTTCTTTTCAACGTTAATCAATACCACGATCTCTACGTAATGCCGTTTTCCCCGTTTAAATCGGACCAACGATAGCTGAGATCCACGCTAAGGTCCTTTTGTCCTGTCACTGCGCATGATTTTTTCTTTTCGACGTTAATCAATACTGAGTTATCTTCATAATGCCGTTTTTCTCGTTTAAATCGGACCAATAGCAGTGAAGATATACGCTAAGGCCCTTTTGTCCTGTCACTGCGCATGATTTTTTCTTTTCAACGTTAATCAATACCACGATCTCTACGTAATGCCGTTTTCCCCGTTTAAATCGGACCAACGATAGCTGAGATATACGCTAAGGCCCTTCTGGCTTTACCACTACGCAAAAATTCTATTCGACGAAATTTAATCCCCCCACTCTCCCCACTACCCCGTTTTCCCCTCAGACCGTCTGTCTCACTCTTACCTACTGAATATGTACCTCTCACTCTTACACGTTGAATTCCCTATGTGAGCCAGAACATACTTTGCTGATCTACTGAATCAAACGGGGTTGTTGACCACAACCCTCTGGAGGTCTGATACAGGCAGTCGGTGGTGCGGGCCGTTAGCAGGCTTCGCTCACCGCGGTCGTAATTATCCCAAAAGTAATGTTTTAGGGTATCAACCCCTGCGCGACACAGCAACGTGTTTAATAATCCGATCACTATCGGCGACAAACGTTTTGGTTTTATCCACGTGCTTCGCGACGACCCTCGACTCACAAGGCCAGACGAACAGTTAACCACGTACCCCCGGTACCTTTCCCAACAAAAATACCACAAATAATAATCCTCGAACCTCATGGCTACGGCGTATTTAACCCCTTTTTCAGAAGTCAAGATGGCTTCAACAAGGAGGATATGATCGTGCATATTTTGGAAATCACACTTCCGGTGATCGCCACAAGTTACCAGAAAACTTATCTAAAGTAATCTAATTCGACTCCAAATGTATTTATACATCCTAATACTTAAGATATTATTCCTAACTAGAGTTAAGTATTAAACCTAATTTTCCTAGAAATGCACCCTAATATAACATGACGTCATGGACAATCAATGGTATTGATCTCAAATAGCACAACACCAAATATCTCCTTAATGTTATGTGTCAAATTCGTACCACGGAACAAGAATTGGCTATCGGACCGTACAAACTAGACGACAGTTATTTCCTAGAAAGAAGAAGATAACCAGAATTCCAATAATTAATATAAATAAATTAATAACTAAATAGTGATTTAAAAGGGATAAAAACTAAGTGAAATAACTACCACATACTCTCAGGTCATTATGCTACACGTTTTCTGCTCATAAAACCACCAGGA